ACTAATCCTAGAGCTGGGGCGGGAAGTGGTTGCGCCACCTCCGAACTCACTCCAAGCAGGTTGAGCTGGACCAAAGGGTAATGGGTCAGGCAGCCTCGTAGTAACAATTCACACGACGTTGCTCAACTTATTCTGTATCAGGTAATGTGTCAAGTACGTGGTAAGCATGATCTCTTTGAACTCTCCCAACTAACCTAGGGAGTACCGTATTTTGCAGTGTATAATGCATACTCTTTTGCCCAAATTTTTGAGGAAAAAACAGGATGCACATTACACATGGGTAGGACCTGAAGTACCTTGTATGTGTTCTTGTGTTTTGTAATTATTTGTTACATAATTACATACTATGTAACATGTTCATAATATGTTCAAAAATAAATGCTGAAATTCCTTTATAATACAAAAAACAAGTATCTAAATATAAATAAATAAAAATTGAATTAAAACATTAAAACGAAAGGCTTTTTCCTGATTTGAGCCAAAAATGTGGGTGCACATTATACACAGCAAAATACAGTAGATACTTTTATTAGACCTACTTTTTAGATGCAGATGATGAGGCCCCAAAAGGTTTATGATTTGCCCAAAGTCACACAGATTGAGGAGATGAAGTGCAGGTATTTTGGCCTCTAGAGCCCCTGCTGTTAGACTGGGGGTGGGGGGAGGGGGGCTAAACTATCACAAGTCACTAGGAAATGTGGAAGGAAGGGGTAGGTAGGGCCCGGCCTGGACTGGCCCTGGGGTAGAGCCTGAGGCCTACGTAGGCCTGTCCAAAGCCAGTGACTCGGAGCCTAGTCAAAGGGAACTTCTAGGGGCACTTCAGAAAACATGATGGGGCAGGATTTTCAGGCTGGGGTTCTTTGGGAACCTTTATTTTAAGAAGCCACCCCAGCCAATCTTGGGCACCTTACCCTAACAGGACTGGGCATCTCAGAAACTGCAAAACACTGTGGAAGAAAAGGGGCCACATAGTAACCTGACAAGCTCAAGGGAGGCCTGCGAGGTGGCCTTATAAACTCAGAGACCTAAAGCAACCATATAGGATGGTCTAAAATTAAAACTTATTAACTATAAGCAGTTCATGGCAGCAGTCCTGTCCTACACCAGCATTTTTCCCCTAACAAAGGTCAATCTTTACCTTAACTAAGCCTATTGTCTTTTTGCGTCTATGATAACAGACCTTTGGAATGTCAAGGTAACTTCCCTTTTTCCCAAAACCCTTGGGCAAAAGCTGAGCACAAATGCCTTCATTGTTATTGTTATCATGTTAATTGTTGACTGTTAACTATCCCTTGCCTACTTGTGTAAAAAAAGTATGTGTCTTAGGGCTCCTCTTTTGATTCTAGTGTATAAAATAAGGAGCTAAACTGCCATTCTCCGCAGCATTTCTTAATCTGTTGAGATATTGCTTCCCAGCAGCTGTCGTCAGTTTGGCTCAAGTAAACTCACCAAAAATACTCTACAGGTTTGAGTATTTCTTACGTTAACACCACTCAAAGTCCTAAAGAGATGCCCTTGTAAGATCTGATAAGGACTTTCTTGCTGAACTCTAAAGAGCAGAGGAACTGGACAGCATGTCCCCAGACAAGTCAGTGTCCCCACTGTCTGGGGTCTGGTCCTGTAGTCCCCTCAGGGCAGGAAGTGGGGGGATGATGCCAGCTGCTTTGCAGTCTCCATCCTAGAACAATGCTCAGGCACATTCAAGGCCCCCGAATTAGTAGCACCCATCATTAGGGGACTTGAACGAGACCTGGGAGCTTCCCCTTTCCTTGAGATCCAGGTCAGTACCTCCCTCCTCTCTGGTCTTGCTACCTATCATCCAGGGGCCCAGCTATAGAATTCAGGCTCACAGAAACCTTTGGCTTCTTGGCTAGAATAGTATCCACTCCTCTGAGAATAACTGGGCATAATCCAAGATTAATTTCCCCAAACCCTTGGATACCAAGAGTTTGTATTCATCCTGATTTTTAAACAAAATCTCCTGAATCAGCCTCAGTCATGTCCTATTATTCTGCCTCAGGGCCTTTGCACTGGTTCTTCTCTCTGAAATGCACCTCCTCCATCTTCACATGACTGACTCCTTCTCCTCTGTTAGGTTTCAATTTACATTTTTCTGCCTTTCCAGAAAGGCTTTCCCTGTCTCTCCCTCTCCCTGGTTTGTCTGTCCCTTGCCATTTCCAGTGAAGATTATCCAGTATGCAGCAGTTCAATAATACCTTCACACAGGACAATACAAACTAGAAAGCCATAGGATCTGGAAAGAGCGGGGCCCTCAGATGTTATGGGGAAGGAGAACTTAGTGGCCATTTAATCTAAGTCCTCAGCATGAGAAAGCTCAAATTCCTTAACCCTGGTGGGTGTTTTGTTTTGTTTGTTCACAAGGGTTATAGAGAGCAGTGAGCAAAGGTAACTGTTCTGTCCCAATGAAACGCTTCTGGGCTGTACACATTTGACAATGAGGATAGAAAGTATAGTGTCAGGTCAAATCAGCCCTGGTTTCAGTTAGATTCTACCTGCAAAGGGAAAATTTTGTCTGACTTTGGCAAATGCAGGAAACCCACTCTCCCCAGGGGACAGTCATCTCTGAGAGCATCACAAAGAAATCAGGGAGCTTAGCTTAGGAAGTTTTAGGGAACTTCTACTTCCTCTTCTTCATCAGAAGGGGTGGCCTAGAAGGTCTCTAGGTCTAAGACAAAAGGCTGAACCCTTTTAGGTGAGATGAGGAAGCCTGTGAGGTGCCCCATTACATCCGAATGTCAGATAAACAACAAATAATTTCTTCAGTAAAAATACATCCCATGCCCTTGCTGGGTGGCTCAGTTGGTTGGAGTGTCCCATCCACCAAATGGTGTGGGTGTGATCCCTGGTCAGCAGGGCATATACCTAGGTTGCCTAGGTGGCATATACCAGGTCTGGTTTCTTGTTAGGGCATGTAGGGGTGGCAGCCGCTTGACCTTTCTCTCTCACATCCATGTTTCTCTCTCTCTCTCTCTCCCACTCCCTCAAATCAATAAACATATTCTCAGATGAGGATTATAAAAAAATTTCAGTGCAGGAAGTGGGACATATTTATACTAAAAAAAGGGCCACAGTTATACCAATATTGTTTTTCAGAAATTCAAATGTAACTGGGCATCCTATATTTTAACCAGCAACCCTACAGAGGAGCGACTAGCATTTAAAATAAATGGCTTTCCCTGGAGGGGCTCCCGGCGCCCTCTCCACCTGCTGCCTGCCCCTCCGTGGGTGCCGGGGCACATGCTGAATCATTCCTGAGACCCAGCCCGCTTGTATTAAGAGCTGTAAACTCTGAGGTTGAAATCCAGCTCTTTAAATTTTTATGTATTTGTTGACATTATGTATTTGGTGTTTTGGACACTCCCCCCAAAATAAAATATAAAATAAATAAAATAAAATAAAATAATAAAATGCTTTCTTAGGATGAAACCCTGGGTTTGGGGAAAACAGAGGCCATTGTGAGCTGCAGTTTTTGAGGGGAGGAATGAAGCTGGTTTCATTCATGCCAGTTAAGCAATTGCACATGACCCTATCAGAAATCCAAACTTGTGACTAACATGGGACTCAAGACCAGGAGAAAAGAAAAGAAAGAAAGATTAAGAGAGTAGAAGCAATCTTCACACACAAGGCCAGCTGCTGGCGTGGGCGGAAGACAATCCCATCCAGAAAGGTAAGAGCATTCATTGCCTTCTCAGGCATAGTTGCGGTCCCATTGTGTCAGAGCAAGGTTTGGGAGACTCTGGTGGACTCCTCCACCCTCCTCCATTGCCTCCCTGATGCTGGGCCACTAGCAGAATTTCTCCTCAATGCTTGTAATTCTCCAACTTCTGTAGGTTCACAAAGTCTCCTAGATGCTCTCTCTAGACTGCAAAGCAGTGGAGCAGAGAACCGGGAGAAGCCCACTTGTGAGCAGCATCATTCTGTCACTTGAAGGGCTGCTGCCCCTGGTTCAGGTGCAGGAGGAGGCATTTGCTGACCCTACACCATTTGCCAAGGCTCTGAACTGGAGTCACAGCTTTAGAAAAAACAATCTAACACAGTTTTGTGTGTGTGATTTTGAACATAGGGTTCACCTTGCATTATTCACCTGAGTTGATCAGTGCATTCAACTGTAATGTCTTTTTTTACCACTGGGAAGGGCAAATTACATATGAAATGCCCCAACAGAAAGGATTCCTGTAGTGAATTCCCTACTCTGTTCTCCCACTTCTCTCCTGCTGTTTTAAACAGGACTCATTAGTATAATTCTATGGGGATCAGACCTTTGAAATTCATGAGAATAAGAGGGAAGAAAAATAGCTAATAGCAAGGAGAGAAGATAAATCACTGTTCTCTTTAATGGGCACACTTTAATCATGACCACTGTAGTTCATGAGCTTTTTGTCTGTCTATTTGGATTATAGTTTAAATTTTTGTATTATAATTATATATATATAAAATGCACACCCAAACATTATATATATATTTTTTAATCCCAGACATGAGACATGAACAAGGGAGAAGAAAAAATTGATTTCAGTGGGAGGATCAACAAATTGCTATAAAAGTCAAGTTGTGGATTTCTTAGCTTATTTTGGTGGGGTGGAAGTGGACTAGACCTGTATGGGGTGGTTTCCTTCACTGGAAAGTGGGCTGGGAGGACGCTGTGCTTGGCCACATACACTTTGTTATCATAGCCTTCTGTTTGTCCAAGAATTGATATCAAATAATACCTTTGGAAAGAAATAACTCCTTTTATTAACCACAGCCCTGGGCCAAGGAAAGCACTAATAAAATTGCTTTTTGTTTGCTTGTTTCTTTACAGTTTATGTGATAGACTCCAACTGAGGGCAAAAGAAGAACATTTTCCGCCAAATAACTCAAGTTCAAAGCATTTGCTTTTGTTTTTAGTTTCTTCTTTGAACTTAATTCTCAATTGGTGGAAAAGGGTTAGAAAACTGAGCAATTTCCATTCAGTATCAATGAAAGAAGCAGGTATACAATCTCTCACAAAGAGAGAACGGAGGCCCCAGCCATCATGCATGGTCACCCGGTGGCACTGTCTTTGTGGGTCTTCATGAGATGACGAGTGAGGATGCTCTGGGTCATTAAATGAAGCCCATGTGTCTCTGCTCTTAGGTGGCCTGTGATCCCACAAGATGCCAAGTGAAGAGGCTCACTACGTCTATGGGTACCCAAAGAGAGGGCGCGGCCACTCCTATATCACAGCTCAAGGGTAAGTTCAAAACTTTTGCTACCCCAGCCTCTGAATTCCACCCACACATTGGCTCTCCATAGACCTCCCCAGTGTTTGTTTCTACAGGGAGTTAAAACTGGCAATGAGGTGAGGAGACTGTGGTCCCGCTGGGGCTCACACACGCTTCTCTGAGGCTGAAGAAGCAAGGTGATAGGAATGGTCGTAAGTTGGATCTGGCCATTTTTGTCTGCAGTCTTGGCTATTAGGCCTTTGCTGTAGGTTCCCAGGCTGAAAGCCATATGTCTGAGAGCAAGTTGCCTCTTTCTTCAAGCCATGTCCTGTCTACTCCTCTCAGGCTCCTGAAGGTGGTCTGCAGACACAACAAAGGTGAGTTGACAAAGAGCAAGCGAAGATGAAGGGCAGGTGTGATTCCGCTTGTGACTGACCCCAAGGCGAAGATGGTAGTCAGAGCCTTTGCATCATAACTTTATCCCATGGAAAGGTGTTTGTTATTATGAATCAATTAAAAATAAGTATTTATATGATTAAGCATTTCTAAGGCTAAACTGTATAACCCTCCTGAGACGCTCGTCTTTCCTTTGAAAAAAAATCTTAGGATGTAGCAGGAGATTTAGGCATGAAAATAATTTCAGCAAGAGTTAAGTGCTGCAATGGGAACACAGGCTGTAGGGACACAGTTCTGCATGTAAGGGTGTGGTGGGCCGGGGCTGGGGGCGGGGAGGGGGAGCTCCACCCTCTCAGTGGGGACTCCAACAGGACAAACAAGGAACTGGGTTTTTATTCGGACTGTCTCTTAAGTGGTCTGTTGACAACTTCCTGCAAAGCTACTCTCCTCTCCCTTGGGGAAGGACTGTTGACAACTCTTTACTAACGTGAAATAGCAGGGAGGGACAAGCAAGTTTTAGAGCCCAGCCACAGCACTGAGGGAGCATTCAGGCTGGCAGCATTTTCTCAAAGAGCCTGTGGGATTTTCCAATGTTCCTGTGTGATCAGTTGAGGGTGGAAGTAGGCAGATGTTCTGAAAAAAATGTCCCAAGAGCAAAAGTACACTCTTTGAGAGGTACACTGCACCTGGTCTTAAGTAAGATAATTGTTTCAGCTTCTGCATGATGACTCAACAGATTCTATTGCTGTGAAACCACAGTAGAGACAGGTTCTCTCAGTTGAGAGAGAGTAATTCACCCATGGAGCTTGAAGAAATGCATTTCCCTAGGTGCTGCCACCCAAGAAGCTCATCCGATGAGACTGGGGGTGGGGGCCCAGCATCTGCACTTTAACACACATCTCAGGTGACTCCACTGTAGGAGGTACTTGGGTAACACTCTGAGGCCCCAGGCCAGCTGAGTAATGGGTTCTTCTGGTGTGTCTGGCATATGCTGGTGTTTTCTCTTCTCAGTCGGAGCCCCTGGGCATGGGAGTGCAATGTGACTGTGTGTACAGAGCTGGAACAGAGCTCTGTCTGTGTCATGATGGCCAAGGGGATAACTGCAGACCTGGTGGGTTAATCAGAGCACAGGCATGCTGGGAATTGAATCAGCTGCCTTTAGTCACGAGAGCCCACCAAACGCTCCATGTGACCATTTCATTTCAGGAAAGAGCAACAAGGCAGGAAAAGCACTGAGCCAGTCTCTGTGAAAGCTGGTTCTGCCACTTAATCTGTTGTGCAACCTTAGACACTTTACCAGCCTAAAGTCTTGGGATGTCAGCTGTGAAATGAACTTCATACCTACCTCAGAGGATTGTCATAAGGATGGAATAAAAGCCTATATGTGTGGGGCTTGGTACAAATTGGGGCTCAATGAATGGTAGAGTAGCCCCTAAGGTAGTGGTGATGCTGAAGAATCACGATAGGTGTCAGCTTCATGATCTATAAGGTGGGTGGAGTGGCCTGCATAATTAGGTTAGGGTTTTACCCAGCACTGTCATCCCATGCTTCTCTCTATCCCATTGGGAGATGGACCCTTGGTCCTCAGGGGTCTTGAGATGAGGGGGGTTCGGTAGGTGGTATTGGGCCAAAGTCTCTCCAGGAGAAGCCTCGGTTAGACCTTGTTTTGCCTGCAGCTGCTCAATCTCTTATAAATCACCCAGCTCTGCAGAGCTGTTCTTTAGCAAGTCACAGATAAAAGATTGCACTCTCCATTTTGTTGATGTTATTCATGCTGTGAAGTGGAAAATCAGGCAGATGTCAGCTAGTTGACAATGTTATGCAGGGAAAGCAGAGCCCCACGGCCTGGAAATAAGGTAAGTAAGGCTTCCCATGGGCCACTGGAAACAGGGCCCGAAAGGCTGGCTTGGACTCCTGCTTTGCATTCTGCTGCTGACGAGCAGGCCATTCTCAGGGGTGCTGCCACTTTGCTCCAGGTGCAGCTAGTTCTTTCAGTAATCCTTGTCTGGCCAGCTGAGAGGTACTTAGGAAATATATGAAATATCTACAGAGTGCCTGACTCCAAATGTCATCTGGCCTCTCTGACGTGGCAGCCAGACCGGCTGGAGAGGTCAGGCCTCTTATCTCAGCCACCCTAGGGCTCCCTTCTGAGATGCCTCTTCCGGGTCACCCAGGTAAGACCAGAGTAAGCAAACACTAACCCACCTGATCCGGTCCTTGGTGACCTGCACTACATTCCTGGAGTAAGTGGAGGCTAGACAGCGGCTTGCCTCCCTGAGCATAAACATAGGACATGTGTCCTAGCTGGGCTGGGCTCTGGCATCCCTACGAGATAGTTACAGTGTCGGAGATCTCTAAATGCTGCAAGTCCTACTTCCGTTCCTTCAGTCAGAATGTACCGGCTCTAAACCCTCGGTGGCCCATTTCCAAGCTCTCTCCTCTTTATTATCTGTTTCCATTCCCAACCCAAACTTGCCCTGTGGTAAATCTCTCATCCCTTTATTCTTACTAGAGTGTTAATGACTCACAAGAGGTTCAAGTTACATTTTGCCACATATCTGCACATTTCTAAATAGTTATTTTAAGAAGACATTAAATTGTTCATTTATTTTTCAGAGAGACTGGTATTATGGGGGAGAGGATGTGAATTTGTAATAAGCCATAATTCATTTCTTCATTTTTTTTATTCGTTTGTTTGGCCATCCATACAACTGTCTATCCATTCATCCATCCACTCATCTTCAATAAATATTTCTTGAAACACCCACATGCCTGACCCTTTCTAGGCATGGAGGATACAAATTTTAAAAAAACAACAACCCCTCCCCCAAAGGAAATTCCTCTAGGAGCTCTTTTTCCATTTCTAGAAGAAACAGATAAGCACAGTGCTGGTTACCACCACAAAGATACCTATGAGAGAAGGCAGGATGTGTTGTCATCCTACTGAGAGGAATGATGCTGTGTCAAGGAATGTGAGTATATTAGGGTAGGAATGGAGAGAGGAGATGGGCAAGGAGTGAGGTGGGCAGGAGGGAATTCAGAGGTGAGGACACAAACACAATCAAGGGAGAGTCCAGTTCAAATCCTAGCTCTGACTTATGCTCCCTTTGTATGACTATCAGCAAGACACTTAATCTCTGCATTTATTTTATCACCTTTGAAATAAGGATAAGTGGTGCCTACCTTACAGGGTTGTTGTGAGAATTAAATAAGCTAATGTATCTAGAATGTTAAGCATGGCACCTGGCTTATAGCAGATGTTAAGTTAATGCTAGTTTCCATTTTCTTTTCGTGGACTGATAGTTGGGGAAAATGATTTTAATCAGCCCCAGTGAAAAGATAATTCAGCCTCAATAAACATATTGTCTGCATCAGGGTCAGTTGCTACTGCACCTCTTGCACCAGGACTTGGGTGTTTGGGCCCATGCCAGTTAGCACAGCTCCTCCTGCCACATACCTGAAGGGGTCCCAGCAGAGGTGCTGTCCCTGGATACAAGTTCTGGAGGTCTGATGGGTGACCGGTGTGCCATGCGGTGGGAAATTACTTGGGGGCTGGGTGATGCTGTTCTGGGCTGGCAAAGTCCCTGTGAAGAGAGAAGACTGTTTGATTACAATGTGGAACATGGCTTCTGTACCAAGGTGAATTTGTCTGTCTCTTGGGCCAGGTTCGCAGGGATTGGCATCCTAACAGTGATCCTGGGAATTTTGCTGCTCCTCGGCTGCTGGTATTGTAGAAGACGAAGTGGATACAGGAGCCTGAAGGTTGGTAAAGTTCCCACTGCTGGGATCCTTCCAGACCCAGGACCCGCTTCCCCTTCTTTCTCTGTGTTTCTGGGCAGTGGGGTAACATTCCCATGGCTGCCTCCAGCTCTGACTCCTGGTTCTGATGAATCTTTCTTTATATTGTATTTCTTGCAACTCTTCCTTGGCCTCTGCCCAGGCATCAGCCCCAACTGGGAACTTGGCTACTCTTTGGTTCCACTCAGAGCAAACTTGAGTGTAGCTGAGCACTGATTGTCTGTGAGGCACAGGGGCAGGGCTCACGGTCATCTTCTACAGTCAACAGCAGCATAAGGGACACTCCAGGTCCCACCAACCCTTCTGGGGATTCTCACTGCTTCTGTCACTTCACTTAGTGGCCGTTCCTCTCACCTTCCCTCTTCACCCCTTTCCTCTCAGGTTGCCTAGGAATTCTTCTAACTCTGCAATACCAAGCAACCCAGTATACTTAGGGCCCATGTAGCATCAGTACAAGAGGTAACCATTCACTCCTCAGCAACACAAAGAACCGCCAGGTTTTTAACAGGCTCCATCTTCCTTTGATGGCCAAGGGGTTTTAATAGGATTATTTTCTTTACCATATAATCAGGAAGCTTACAGAGTCCAGTCTAGGGGCAGCAGGGTCTTTCACAAATGGGAGTCTCATTTGAGTCTCTAAACTCTAAAATCTACAGGTTTCAGAATCCTCACTTTAAAGCCAGGTTACACTGTAGCATCTAAGCATCTGAAGGCATTCTCCATAGTGAGCAATGGAATAAAAGGAGAGTTGCATTTCCCTCTCTCCCTCTCCCTTCTCCCTCTTTCTCTCTCCTCTCCCCTCTTTCTTGTTACTAAGTATCTGAAAGCTTCCGAGGTTGATACGTAAGTGAAAGAATTTATCCGTACAAAAGATGTTGGGAAGTCCCCTTCCTCATTCAGAAGCACTTCATTCCGAGGAGAAGGCTGTGTGACTGAGGGCAGGATCAGGGTGCAGGGGAGGCCATAACTTGGCAGACCGAGGAGGAGAAGGGGAGGGTGACAGCTGTAGCTTCAAATCCTTCTCCTCCTTACCAGGAGGCTTGGGCATTCTCGTGTGTCCCTTTCCTAATACCCATCTTGCCACTGTTTCAAATACAAATCATCAAGCCAGGATGAGTTTGGGGGCTGACATACCCATTGAGCAGCAGCCCTCCAGGGTGCTGACATTTCGTGGGGAGAAGTAGTTGCTGAGTCTGAGTAAGATTCCAAATCAAGTACTGCAGGAAAGCCCTGGGTTAGGAGGTTAAGGATGGCACTCCTGCTCATATGACACTTCTCTGTGGCCATCCCCAACATGTTTGGGGGAGCAGTGGTGAGGGAGCCTTTGCTCTCTGACGCAGAACTCCTTTTGTACCTCTAGCATAGGGTTATGACATTGCCTTGTAATTGGCTATTTAATTTTTGCCTCTTCCAACTCTTCTCTTTCTTCCATTTATGAACAGGAATAGAGAAAATTTCTTACTCCTCTCTGTACCTCCAGTGTCCAGCACAGTGCCTGGCACATAGCAGTCACCCAATTGTAAGGCATCATACAATTTTGTTATTATTGTCTGCCATTGATCTGCTTGGTGAGCTTAGATTTTAATTCCTCTAAGCCTCAATTGCTCTGTTCTGTACCTAGATACATGCTATCAGTTTTTATTTTTTATGTATTTCCTTTTTATATATTTTATTGATTATGCTATAACAGTTGTCCCATTTTTTCTCCCCTTTATTCCCCTCCACCCTGCACCCCCCCACCCACCAGCACCCACCCCCCCACCCCGACTTAGTTCATGTCCATGGGTCTTAAATATGTTCTTTGGCTTCCCCATTTCCTATGCTATTCTTAACCTCCCCCTGCCTATTTTGTACCTACTATTTATGCTGTTTATTCCCTGTACCTTTTCCCCCATTCTTCCCCCTCCCTCTTGCCTCTGTTTTACTGTTCATAGTTTTTGACCTTCTTTTTCTTAGATAAGTTCCTTTATCATTTCATATAATAAGGGCTTAGTGATGATGAGCTCCTTTAACTTGACTTTATCTGGGCAGCACTTTGTCTGCCCTTCCATCCTAAATGATAACTTTACTAGATAGAGTAATCTTGGATGTAGGTCCTTGTTTTTCATGACTTTGAAAACTTGCCAGCCCCTTCTTGCCTGCAACGTTTCTTTTGAGAAATCAGCTGATAGTCTCATGGGAACTCCTTTGTAGGTAACTGTCTCATTTTCTCTTGCTGCTTTTAAGATTCTCTCCTTATTGTTAATCTTGGGTAATATAACTATGATGTGCCTTGGTGGTGCTTCCTTGGGTCTAACTTCTTTGGGACTGTCCGAGCTTCTGGGATCTCCTGGAAGTCTATTTCCTTGGCCAGATTGGAGAAGTTTTCTTTCATTATTTTTTCAAATAAGTTTTCAATTTCTTGCTCTTCCTCTTCTCCTTCTGGCACTCCTATGATTCAGATGTTGGATCGTTTAAAGTTGTCTCAGAGGTTCCTGAGCTTCTCCTCATTTTTCTGAATTCTTGTCTCTTCATTCTGTTCTGGGTGAATGTTTACCTCTTCCTTCTAGAAGCTCCCAATAGTTGGTTTGAGTCCCGGGTTCCTTCTCTTTACTGTTGGTTCCCTGTATATTTTTCATTATTTCACTTCGCATAGCCTTCACTTTTTCCTCCATTTTGCGACCATACTCAACCAATTCAGTGAGCATCCAGAGTACCAGTGTTTTGAACTTTGCATCTGATAGGTTGGCTATCTTAGTTCTATTTTTGGAGCTTTGACTTGTTCTTTCATTTGGGCCATATTTCTTTGTCTCAGTGCTCCTGTTATGTTGGAAAGGGAGAAGCCTTAGGTATTTGCCAGGGCGGGTGATCCAGGTCTCTTCATTGTGATGCTGTATGTGGGGAAGGGGTCTGAGAAGGAACGATGCTACTTGCTCGCCTCTCCACCAGCTTTCAGTCACTTCCCCACTACCCACAAGAAAATTAGGCCCTTCTAGTGCTGATTCCCAGGTGAGTGGGTTTGTTTACATTCTGGGACCCTGTGAGTCTCTCAGATGGACTCTCCTGTGAGGCTCGGAGTTTCTCCTACTGCCACAACCCCCACAAGTTTTTACCTCCAGAGGTTTTGAGGCTTTCTTTTCCTGCACTAGAACCCTGGATTGCATGGTCTTGCTCCCTTGCTGTTCCTCTTGGTTTATCCACACACAAATGTCAGACTGTCAGGTCCACCAGCTGCCACCTTGCCACATTGCCTCTCTGCCCCAGCTGCCTGTCTCTGCCCCTCCTACCCGTCTGGATGAATGTTTCTTCTTTAGCTCCTGGGTTGTTGGACTTCCATACAGTTCGATTTTCTGGCAGTTCTGGTTATTTTTTTGTTTTTTAAATTTATATATAGTTTTTATTCATTCTGTTTTTACATTTAAAAAATCACAATGGTTTAGCTTTTCAGGAGTAGAAGTTCTACAAACTCATTATGTTGGTACCCTTCTCCTAACTGTCCACAATTGTTAGCTAGATGATACTGAGCAAAAGGACATTTTTTCTTTCCTTTTCTGCTTCAACACTGTCATCTTGAACTCATTTAGGAGTCATAGAGTCAACATTGTGGGCTCAGACTCTGTGAACATTTTGCTTAGTAAGGTTCAAGTTCAACTCACTGTGCCTCCAGTACTCTAGGTCTAGATCAGTGATTTTCAGTTTCTGGAATTTTTATGTGTATATACTCCCTGATTTCTTACTGTCTAAAAATGCTGTCATTTATTTTTTTTAATTAATATTAAAATCTTGTTGTGAAACTTTCATATCTCCTGAAATGCCAGGTTTGGAATTAGCAGTCTAAGAAATGTAGGTAAAACTATGTAAAATAGTGCATTAAGTACTGCATTTAATTACATAATTATCTCCCTCTCTTCGGTGATTCTATTTTCATTTTAAAACAGAAGTACATAAATGACAATAGATACAAGCTCAGGGTATCTCAGTTATGTCGCCTTTAACAACCCCCATTGAGCTTTAAAATACCTCCTTTTTCATTTTTCCCCGAACACTGAATGGTAGCAGGGTTGGTTGGAATTAAGATCTCCTAAAATTTCTCCCTTGGCTAACAATTCCCCTTATACCTGGAAAACATCTTTTGAAAAGATAGACTGCTTTTTGCAGCAATGTTTTCTCAGGAAAATGATTTGTAAGGCACTTGCAGTTGGTTTTTGTATTTACGAATTTTACTCTCACTTGGAAGTTAGAACACAATACTTTTAACTCTTGGAGAACATTTTGAGGCCCCTGCTGACAGTTCAGCTTACGCTCATGTCCCGATTTGTTCTGTTTCTCGGTGCAGGCCAGGGGTTCCTGCATACCTGGTCTCCTAGGTATGCAGATTCTAGGACCAGCTCTGGTGGTGAGAACCAGGAACCTGCATTTTAACGTGTACACTATGGCAGGGGAGAGAGTTAAATAACAAAGAAAAAGGAATAAAAGTGATTGATGACTAAAGGGAGACAACTCATTAAATACCTTTTATGAGGTGTATCTCTGGGAGTTGGGGAGGGGAGCAGAACCTCCCAATGTCCTCATGTCAAGATTAGGATCCTTTTGCATATATCCTTCTAGGAGGTGGACCAGAGTTCAGGAAAACTACTTCTTTACAGTCTGCAGACTGTGTAGGTATCAGCCCAATCCATGTCTGGTCTCATCTAACTGATGTTCCAAATACGTCTCCTCCCTTGGAAACCTGCCTTGATGCCCTTCTCATGCAACCTAATAGATAGGCCCCAATGATCAGCCACGGGCCACAGGCAAGGCTGGAGAGCCGCTGATCACCTGCACGTCAGCTGGATTTGGTTTACAGTTATGTTTGGGCCTGTATTTTTAAAAATTGAGTTAGATGCTAACATTTAAAACAATACAAAATAAAAATCTTGATTTCTAATTGCTTCTTGGCCTTTTGACTAAGATCAAGTGTAAAATCTTGATTTCTAGTTTCTTTTAAAAAAAAAATCAGTTCTGGGAAAAACTGGCAGTTATGCAGCCCCTTTAGATGGGATATACATTCCATTCTTCCCTCTGGCTGGCTCTCACCTGACCCCCTTGATCCCTTTGCATTACCTGCCTGGTCCCCCTAAGTATTTGAGTATAGCTGAGTTGCCCCAGGTACAGAAAAGAAGGTGTGTTGTCTGTACAGCAGTGGATCTCGGTGTGGTTCTGGACCAGCAATACCACCTGGGAATTTGTCAGGAATGCAAATCTATAGGCCTCACCCTGGAAGCACTGTCATAAGTTCTGGGTATGGGCCCAGCAATGTGTTTAACAGGCCCCCCCAGATGATGCTAATGCATGCTCAAGTTTGAGAACCACTGTAGTGGAGAATTTAACAATAATAATAGCAACTAAAAGTCTTTTTTTTTATTATGAAATGCCAGCAATTTTAAACAATGTCAGTCAGTGATGAACTACTCCGCCTCACCAGGGTGAACCGCTCCTGCAGTCTCCACTTTGGTTTATGTCTGTCTTGTACAAACTGTTGTTATTCCGTTCTAAGAATGAGGAGCATCACCCTCTAATCCTATGCAAAGCACTAAGCTTTTACCTACCCTCCCCCCAATAACTCAGGGTACATAACTTAGCCTTAGACTGACTTGTCATTATTGTTGCAACTTGACTCAGGGCTGCTACTATAGAATTTCTATCACAGTATATGCATTAATAGTGTTTGAGATATTTTGCTATCCTTATGGGAAAGACAGAGTATTGAATCCCTGGTGCGACATTGTCATGTGCCTGTCCCCACTGTGCTATCAGCTCCTGACTCACTAGCTCTTATCTACTCCACTTGCAATCATTCTGAGGTTCATTTTTTCATTTCACTCTTTTCCTCCTTCTCTTTAAAAATATTGACTAATGGGTGTCAGGCACTGCACTAGGCGTTTTACCTTTAGTTAATTCTTCCAACAACTCTGAGGTAGGTGATTTTTTTTTTCATATCACAGATACAAAAAACAGAATTCAGAGGGGACACAGAGTATATGACACAACCGATTTAAAACCCATTCTAAAAACGTCACCTTCTCATTTCTTTAATTGAATCAATTATTTCTTACCCACTGACTTTCACTAATTCGTATTTCAGGACAAAAGCTTTTACGTTGGTACTCAAAGCACCTTAACAGGAAGGTGTCCTTGCGAGGGACTTGCTCCTCAGAACAGCAAACTGCCTTTTCAGGGGAACAATGATGAACCTACGGTAGGTTGATATCCTGTGAGGACAATGTGAATGTATTTAATGCTACTGAACCGTACACCTAAAAATGGTTAAAATGGCAAATTTTATGTTATGTCTATTTTACCATAATAAAAAATAATAAAGGTAAAAAACAAGGGAAGCACAGAGATTGTGTGTTCTCATATCCAGATTTTCCAGGGTCAATAACGAGAGCTTTACAGGTAGGATCCAAAGGAAGAACTTGGTTCTGGATACAATATCCATTTTCTTATGTTTTTAGTATATTTATCTATGTCCTGAACAAAGATATATCAAAGGGAGAAAACAAAAGACCTATTAATTGTATAGAGCTGTGCTGTCAAATAGGACAGCCACTAGCCACATGTGGCTATTGAGCACTTAAAACATAGTTTGAATTGAGATGTGTACTACCTACCAGATCTCAAAGACTTTGTATGAGGAAAAGAAGATAAAGAATTCATTAATGATTTTTATATTGGTTACATGTTGAGATGATAATATTTTAATATGTGGGGTTAAATGAAATGTGTTATTAAGATTAATGTTACCTGCTTTTTATTTTTATTTTTGATTCTGACTACTAGAAATCTTACAACCACATATATGGTGCACTCTGTTTCTATTGGACAGTGCAGGCATAAACACAATATACGATAATGTTGAAAGCACTGACTCTGGGCTAAATTACTGATTGTTCTTAGCTCCACAACCGACTAGTTGTGTGACTTTGGGCAAGTGACTTAACCTCCCTGTGCCTTAGTCTCCCAACCTGCAACATAAAAATACTCTTAGAATTATTGTGAATGAAGGCCTGACATATTCATGCTTTGTTGATAGCAGCAATGGCCTTTAGACATAACTACCAGGACTTCTCTGTATGGTAAAAATGCAGCGCATTTAATGTCTGTAAATAGGGTCCAACAATTCATTAGTTAGGGCTTGGGACTTCTACTGACAAGGATATTCCAGGTATATATAAGTTTTTGAGATTTGGGGAAGCCCCTTAGCCTTATTTTTTTCTGTACTCCTGCCCCCAATAATGTTTCAACAAACACACTTGTGAAATTAAACAAATATTACCTTGTTGGGTGGAAATCAGATGTGGGCATTTAAAAGTTTCAGTCCAGAGCAAAAGTATAAATATCACGGTACCTATTTTGCCTTACTGGATCCCTAAAAACATATGCACTGCTGCCAAGCCCATACTCCCCCTTTTTCATCCCTGCAGGTTCCCAATGCTCCACCTGCCTATGAGAAACTCGCCATACAGCAGTCACCACCACCTTATTCTCCGTGAGAGCCAGCGCAGACCCTGAGAGCTGCTGAAATGATTTCCTTCACACTTTGGATTAAATTGGACATGGACATTTAATGTTTTGCTTCAGAATGCTATAGAAACGTTGTATACCATCTCTAATAATAAGCTTAGTGTTAAATTCTTAGTAGGGCAACTAGCAATGCTAATTGAAATGATGAAAAATATTAAAATAGAAAAACTTTGTCAATAAATGTTATAATGCATGATACTGTCTGCACCAGTAGTAATGCTAATACACCTATTCTCTTATTTCTGGAGAGACAGAATTTAAGTGTGTGTTCTGGGACCATTCAATTTCTCTTTAGTTGAAATTTGGCTAATAACTAACAAACCACTCTTCTGTTTTTTGAAGAAGCAACCTCTTGACCAAAATGAACTCTACCAGAATTGTTACAGGTAAGTTTATGCTATGGAGTCCTCACAAAGGGTATCTTTAAAGGTTTAAGACCAAGAGCTGGCTGACCTAGCAAATCATACAGATTGATCTGATCACAGAAGTGTCAGCACTGTCTCTTTATGTTCCATGTTACTAAAAAACACATGGCACAGCTCTAATTACATTTCATTTCAGGGGTGGTCTCAGAATTAAAACAAGTAAAAGCTATTGTAGTTAAGTTTGGCTGATGTCTTGCCTTAAATGTGCCAATGGCAATTTAGTTCCTTTGGGTTCCCAAATGCCTCTCAAAAGAGCATATAGAAGAAATCATAAAGAATCAGAGATTCTGGAAGAGTTATTATTTGCTGGCAACATTACAAATTTTTGTTGTTGACATTTACATATCATGTATACTATTATTTATCTAAGATTTTTCTTTCAGTCAGCTCACTTAAAAAATTTGGCTTAAATGTGTATCACCACCATAAATGGAAAATCAGTATCGTTTTCTAAAAGTAGAGGATAACTATAAACCTAATGATATTATTTTTATTAAAACCTAGGGAGATACTGATGGTTGCAGAAGGCTGTCAACCTGAGACCTGCTCTCTTTATTAAAGAGAGAGATTAGCAAGAATCAGAGAAAAGCTTTTAAGATAATTAAAAGGTGGGCAAGAGAAAGAAATGACTTTCTCGCTATGTGACTCAAGTGTTATCTCATGCTGAATCAGTAAACCACCTAAAATAATCTTGTGTCATTGGAAACAGGAGGGTAGCCTAACTGCATCGTTTTCTACAAAAGCAAGATTGCACTGAAAACACTGAATAAAGAAACTTATTTACACACATTGAAAAAAAAGTCACCACAATGCTAAACTACCCCTCTGCCCTTCCTGATTTTGTCATCTTAACACTTAATATAAGCCCCATCCATCCCTTCCCTTTTCAAACAAATAAATGAATTCTAAACCAAGTAAACTCCATCAGGCATTTGACCAGCTCCTTTCCTCATTGAAAGGCTTAGTTTGAGCCTTAATTATTCACATTTGTAGAATAACCTGTGGCTTGAATCCCGGGTCCCTCCAAGATCCCCAGACCATCCATCATCCACAGAACATTCTCTTTCCCCGTCGAAATCTCTGCACAGAGTCCTTCAAGGCAGTGTCTGTCCCAGGTGACCGGCAACGTGGGTTGAGCTGAATCTGCCAGGAGGAGACTAGAAGAGTGAGTTTTTGCTTTGAGGAATATAAGGTGCCAGATTCAGCCAAAAGAAGGACCTGTTCTCTACACAGAGGCAACCACACTTTTGGAAATGACTCTCTGGATTGGAGAATAATTTTGGGACAACCTTGGAAACCAGGAGCTGAAGACTGAAGGATCAAGTGGTGGAAGGAGCCTGGGTCACTGAGACACCACTGAAGGAGTCTCTCTCACCTAGGAATGCTTGGATAGAATGAGGACAAACTGGCCCCACAGAATGTCCATAAATTGTTAAGACATTGACAAATCTGATACTGAACTCCAGGGCTGTTAATACCTTTTTTGAGGCCGTTCAGTGCTCTGGCCCTGTCCGGGTGGACTGAACAAATAGGGGCCACCAGGGTGCCTCCAGGGCAGATGCCTGTGACCTTTGCAAGCAGGATCAGGCTTCCCTCCTGCCTAAGGAAACTTGAGCTTGGAAGAATGAGCTTCCCCAGGGCCCTGGGCACTAGAGTCCTCCCCTGCAGGGTGCCCACTGAAACACCCGACATGCTCAAGGGCAAAGTGATAATGGCATGGCATTGCCTTGACCTCCTAGGCTTTCTGCAGGATCACGTCAGAACTAGAGTGGTCAGAGCTCATGGCCTGGAGTGCTCTGCTGCAATCATTGTTTTCTACTTGTCCAAATGCACTCGATAAATATTACTTTCCATTTGTGCAGTGAGCTGTTTTATAGAACCTGGTCTTCCTCCTCCTTCCAACCACCAGCTGTCAGGTGTTGTCTGATGCTTGATCCAAGGCCCAAGTCTCTATGGGTTTCCCTAGGGGGTTCTGATATGGACTCTCTGATTGTAAAGAGAGTGAAGAGCAGTCAAACTTGAGGGAAAAAGAACTAGCCAAAAGATTTTCTACCTGGGTTAATGTCAGTGAGTTTAGACTGATCATACAAATCAAAAGCCCCCAAGTCATCCCCAATGAAGACCAGTTTTCTGAAGTTATAAACACGGAGTTTGGTAGCACTTATAAATCTGGACAGATCCATTCATCATTTGAGATTACCACAGAATTTTTCTGAGGACAGAAACCAGTGAGCTCCCTGAATCTTCATTTGATGGCTTAAGGATAGACACAGTCATTACAAAATGCATTAAAATCCCTCAATCTCAAGTGACTGATAACAGAACATTATTAAAGTGTCAGAAGAATATAGAATACAGAGGGAAATTCATGGATGGTTTGGATAAAAGCACTCATTTTGAAGAAAGCCTAAAACTGCTGTCCCAAGAAGCTGTAAGATGAAAGAAAAAGTGTAGGAAATAAACAGAAAAAAAGGTGCTTGACAACTTGAACACAAAGAGGCTTTAAATGATAAAGTGAACCATTAACATCTCTGAAACAGTACTGATGACTAGTCTGCCTGCTTGCTTTCTTTTTTAAAAGATTTTTATTTATTTCTAGAGAGGGGGGAGGGAGAAAGAGAGGGAGAGAGACATCATTGTGTGGTTGCCTCTCACACGCCCCCTACTGGGGACCTGGCCTGCAACCCAGGCATGTGCCCTAGCTGGGAATCGAACCAGCAACCCTTTGATTCACAGGCTAGCACTCAATCCACTGAGCCACACCAGCCAGGGCTGCTTGCTTTTTTAAAAAAAACATTACATAGATGATAGTTACCTGAAATCAGACAAAGAGAAAATTTAAAAAAATGAGAACTCTGTCAATGAGAAGTCGATTTGAATATACTGATCCTGTTAAGTGTTTCTTTAAAAAGGCTTGAAGGAGAAAATCAAAGACCATTTAAAAAGTTAAGTGAAGAGATCTATATGAACAAATCACAGTTCAAATGAATACTCTCCAAACTCAACAAACATCTTTGCAACCTGAAAATAGTTTGAAAGTGAAATTCAAAAACCAACCAAAACTTCAAATACTGCTTGCTGTATTGGACTTCATCAAGAACTTGTAATGCAAATTTGCAGAAAACTCAATTGAAGAGAGAATTCACTGCTTAGAAACCTAGAAGAAAATTTCCAAAGTGTATGACAATATTAGCCACATGCATCAGAAGTATGACTCCTACAAGACGGCCTTGAGAAAAAGCTGGATAGAAGCTCTTCTTTTTTGGTAAGCTGGATTGTTTACCATGAGAAAAAAGCTCAAGAAAGTTGGATATCAGCCTGGCTGAAAGCTCAGAGCCAAGAAAATAATCACAACAGACAAAAACTGGCTGAAGAAGTTTAAATTCCAGCTTTTCCCAAGTGGCCCCCACTGTTCCACATGCTGCCCTGTGCGGAGGCCAGGGAGTATCAGGTCACTCACTAAATCATGAGGTCCCCAGAAGAGGAGGGGTTAAGCTGTGAGGACTCAGGCATTTGAGTCACCTGCAGATTTGATTTAGGTTTACAGCAGCCAATTCCTAAATATCCACAGAAAGATGTTTTCTTATTTAAAAATAATATTTATATAGATCTTCTTTCAGTTTAACTGTTTTTACTTATTTGGTGCTACATTTGCTCAAATTGAAGTTTGATAGAATCATAATTCCTAAATAGTGTTTTGAGGATTTAGATGGTTTTAATAAAACTTTAGATGATTAGATGTTCTATAATTAGATCCATGGAAGTATTGTATTTAGATTGAACTAAATGGTCCACTATTACTTTAGCCATAATTGAATTTTTATATGATCAGGAACAGACATATAAATCAATAAAGACCATTGATATAGGCTATAAACTATTAGAAGAAATCTATAAAAGCAACTTAGTACTGACAAATTTTAGTTAAAAAACAAAAAACAAGAGTTCCACCAAAACCCAAACTGAACCACCACCACACCCTCCCTCAGCTAAACCTATTAGCATTTTTATTAGTTTAGCAATGAATTCTTAGATTTAGGGGTATGTTAACACTTTGTTCATGACATTCTTTGCTGTTTAAATGTTTGTAAATTTTACACATTCAAAAACAAAAGCTTTCCTTTGAAACAATCCTTTCCTCTATTCCTCTCAATCTGAATATACGCACACCTCAGAGATACTGCAGGTTTGGTTCTAGACCACTGCAATAAAGAGGAGCTACCTTTTTGCTGGTGCAAGGTCTTGCCTTCAATTTATATTAGAAAAAAAAAAAAACCCAAACAAACCAAAACTCTGTGAAGCACAATAAAATAAGGTTATGCTTGATACAGTTTCATTTTCTCACCTTTACTGCTATCATTATTATTGCCAGGTTAACAGGTATTCACACTATCTGCTACCCCACTTAAAAACTTCCTAAATTTGCCCCCCTGACTCTAGTCAGGTGAATGATAACAGCTACTATTATGTGGCAGGCAGCATTGGGTCGATTGTTTCACATAAGTTATCTCATCTAATCCTCACAGCAATCCTGCAAGGTAATT